CTTCAGGGTCCACAAAGTACTGCGCCTGCCACGAAATTTGCACTTCAAGGCCCACAAAAGCTCTGCACCTGCTACGAAATCTGCACTTCAAGTTCCACACAGTACTGAGCCTGCCACAAAATTTGCTCTTCAAAGACCGCACAGTACTGCGCCTGCCACGAAATCGGCACTTCAAGGTCCAAAGTATTGCACTAAACGAAAAACAAAAAACAAAAAAGAAACAAACAAATCCAATCCGCAGCCGTTGTCGGCAGTCAGCTCTCAGCAATCTCGAGCAGTCAGCTAATCAGGGAGGAGTCACGCAAGACTGACACTTCACCCTTAACGGTCTATGCTCAACGCGCCGCGTGGGGACCACACGCTAGACCTCAGTGGGACCCGGTTGCGGAGCACACTTAGATCCATGCTCGCAAGAGCTAAATCAGCTTGGAAAGTCCCGAGAGCTAGTTGCTGATTACATACGACCTTGACTCACAGCTTGCACAACAGTTGAAAACGGGTAAAGCTTAAAGTTGCTTGTGATAATGTTAGAGGGTTGTAAGACAATGTGACGGGGTTAAAACAGAAGGTTCCAGGGTCGAAAAAGCGTGCGCAAGGGCTAAAAAAGAATGTTGCAGGGTCAAAAAAGAATGTTCTAGCTCCTAGGGTTGAAAAAATATGTTGCAGGGTTGGAAAAAAAGGTTACGGTTGAAGAAAAATGTTTTAGGGTTGAAAAAAATGTTGCCCGAACAAAGCCAGCCCCGGCCCTCGTAGCGTCCGATCGCTCCGTTCGTAGCGATGCCAGGAGCCCCGATCGTAGCTTCTTGTTACTAGCAGCAAGGCCAGGAGCCCCTAATAGCGTCCTTGCTCCTAGTAGCGGTGCCAGGAGCCCCTATTTGCTTCTTGTTACTAAGGAAGGTGCAACGGCCTTGACCTTTGCCAGACTGCGCAGGCATGGAGCAGTGCCCAGCCCGCAGAGCATGGAGCTGGCTGGGGATATCAACTCTTTTATGTCGGTCAGTGGTCTGTTTTGAGTGCTCTCTTAAAAGGTCGAGAAGGTGTGCCAAACAGTCGAGACATTCTGTCCGATCTGGGATTTTGACCCACCAAAGTGCTGGCTTTTGTAGGTTTAACCGCGACCCTGAGGTCGAAAACGTGCTGGAGTCTATGGGCGCAAACGAAGCTGCGGTCTGACCATTTTTTGGTTTCCCCAGACCTGTGGGTCAGCGACCCCGGAGCCAGTCGACTACTTTGGTTTCGTTGACGAAGGTCTGATGGCCATCTGAGCTTGCGGACAAGACCGACGATCTCAAGACCGTTATATACTGTACTTTGCGCACGTCTTTTGGATGCTTTTCCAAACGCAGTCCCACAACATTCCGGGTACCGTGCGCGAACCACTCCGGCATTTTTGCAGCAACTGGAGAAGCCTGGGTCCAGAAGCTGGCGTCTGCATGGTGGTCCATTTTTAACTGTGTTGGAGGGATTTTGAGAAGAACCCGATGCCATCTCAACAGCGTGGCGTGGCTTCACGTCGAGAGACATGATAAAACACGTCGTTTACTATGTTTACTTTATTTGTACGAACACTGGAACGCCGAGCTTCTTCACTGCTGGTGGAAGAGTCTGGCTGAAGTCTGACATGGCGAACGGATGTCAAACTGGCGGAGCATGCTGTGAAGGATTCGAGCTGCTTGAACGTGGACGTGATTGGGAAAGCTATGTTCCAACAATGGTGCGTATCTCCAAGCCTTTTGTTGGCTGAGCCTGGTTGATTGCATAATGCTCACTTACATGGCCCCCCCAGAAGAGGGCCAAACAGTCCGAACTCTTGAATCAAGAGACATTGGTTTCAACCCTGGAATGGACTGACATGTGCTTGGTGAAAGTCAATTGCAGATCTTTCTGTAGCATTGAGATTTTCTATCCAGGCAGCTTTTCAACTCTGAGTGGGCCCGAGAAGCGACTGGAAGTGGGTCCACGTCGCGGCCATATAGGCGGCCGCTCGCGGCATGCTCATGCTGCGAAAGGAAAAAGACATAGCTACTAGGAACAAGAAGCAACTAGGGGCTCCTGGCATCGCTACTAGGAGCAAGGACGCTAGCTGTACTACTAGGAACAAGAAGCTACTAGTAACAAGTAGAGACATAGGAGAGAGGGACGGTTCTCCTGATTTGTGAGGCTTGAAATCACTCACCGGCCCGAGTTGGACGGGGCAGTTGGATGGAATTTGCCAAGGGCCACCGGCCAAACATCAATACTAAACAAAAGACCCACGGAGGATGAGAACCTGCAGAGAACCTGCGAAATCTCTGAGTTTGAGGCTCTACCGATCTGTACCGTCGATGGGGACTGCTCTGTGAGGTGGTCCTGACATTGATGGAGGAGAAGCACCACTGCAGCGGCTTTTGCAAGGCCGACGTCGAGCACGAGCTCGGTGTGGTCGAGCACGACGAACCGGTGTGTGTTGGAACGTGAATAGTGGTGGGTTATCAAAATTAACACCCATTACACACAAACAGAAAAGAGGTTTGGAACATTGAGAAGACCTGGGCGATCCGGCATATCAACATATTAAGCCCCAGTCAGGAGGGTTTGAAAGACTATATATTTGCCCGTACCAATACAGGCGACTCCGACTATGTTTGGTTTCGGGGAGAGTAGATTTTCTGTACATGAATGAACTGAGCGGATTCGCAGCCATGTCTCCAATTGGGTACAGTCAAGACTCGGGTCCTTTTTTGGTGGATTGGATCCCCCCTTGAGTAGTGTCCCATGTTCTCTCTGAATCACTAGCGGGCCGGGGCGGGATTTGAACAGCATCCAAGTGGATCGTCAAAGTCAACTACCTTCAGACCATGGTAGATGAACACCGTTCTGCGGACGGGGCTTTTAGGGTGACCCCTTCAAGCTAGCTTTGCCAGCTTTGCTGGAAGTGTCTGCGCCGAGGCCGACACTCGTTTGCTGCCACCTTGCCTTTCATCTTGGGTCAGCGAGGCAGACTTGAAGTGCGACTGAAGATCAGACACAGAGGGGGAATTGAGAGCGGTGGCGCAAGAAACGCAAGAAATCACCACATCGCACCTGGAGGATAGGCAGAGAAGTTGCAAGTGGAGTCATGGACGTTGGAGTCCTATGATGTGCTATGTATCCTACAAATTCGGGACCACGGGCCAGTCTTTCATGGGCGGCGTTGGTTCCCACCAGCACTGCGAGGTGAAGCTCCATTGGAGCTTGGCGGCCGGGAGCTTTGCTGCACTCTTCGTGGCATCTTTGTCACTTGGCAAAGAAATTCCTGAGATGGCACCGATGGCACCCACCAAAGCTAACAGAACCTGGACATGAACTGTGAATGGGCCGGCTTTTCTCGATGCCATGGATTTGGGTTCCCCTTCATTTCAGTGGTGTAGGATTGTCAATGACCCAAAAGTCCACTGCACCAGACCGGCTGCTCCAGTTTAGTGGACACCATTGCCTTTGCTCGAATTCTACTAGAACATGGAGCACTGTACAGCATTGTGAACCACTCATCCGCTTGGTAACGAAGGAGGCATGTGTTCCAGGCACAAACTCCTTGGAAATGGATTTCACGACATTGTTGCTTCCAACATGAAGCCAGATATAACGAAACAATTGTGTTACTGCCACTTTGTTTGCGGGTTGGCAGTTGGTCGAGCCCAGGAGATTCAAGCCCGGTCAAACCAGGCTGTTCAGGCAAGACCATAGGCTTATTAAAGGGATGTTTGCGAGCCCACACATTGACTCAACCAAGAAGAGGTTAAAGGGTCGCAACAAATGTTCTAAATTTAATACCTGCCCATTTGGCTCTGAGGCTCATGGCTGTTTGCTCCTGTTGGCCGCTGCCTCACAACGAGAGAACGAGTCCGGCGATTTCGTGCACTTTTCGGTGTTTCGATACAGATGGCACTGGCACCGAACCACAAATTTGCTGCCCCCCCCAAAAGGGGCTGCTTGGGGGACCTGAATCGTACCAAAGCTTTGTGGTGTGCAATTCCATGCTGCAAGACCTCGCAAATTTCTTGCTCTGCAAGATGACGCTCCTGGGAAGACCTCCCTGGCTGTGCGAATCCTCAGGCAGTGCTGTGCTCCTCCACCAACTCCTTTGCAAGACTATACGCATCGGCCAGAGGCCACGAAATCTGGGTTGGACAAACATGAAGTGGAACAAAGAGATGTCTAGGTGCACGTGACAAGCGTGGGATCAATTATTTGAGGTTGGGTTTGTTTCCAAGTAAGAGGGACTGCCCCAACCACTTGGCTTTGTAGTAGCGGGCTGTGGTGGTCTCCAGTTGAAACATGCATCATTGACTTTAGCTGTAGCTCGTATCCATGAAAGAAGTGCGTTGTCTCGTCTGGGGCATGTGCTTTTCTTCGCCGCGCGACAGGGGTTGATGACAGTGGAAGAAGGTGACAGCAGTGAAGAGGCCATCGCAGTTCGATCTCGAGATCGCTTCCCCCCCAGTTCGATGGCATGGTCCCTAGAAAGACCATTGCCCTCTGCAAGCAGGGAGTGCCATCGACTTTTCCACTTCCATGTGAGTTTGCCTCGAAGTGTCCCTTCCTTTCAGGAACGCAACACGATCGCTCGAACGCTTGAACGCTCGAGAGCTTTCAGAGTCCTGTAGCCTTCTGATTCGGTGGTAGTATGTGGTAGTCCCAACACGAGGTCCCCCTCCAGTGAAAGACTCTAAAGCCGACAAACCAGCGGAAGTCGGGTTCCATGTCAATCTTTTGGCAGTACTTGACCCTAATTCCCAGTGCTCCCTCTGGGTTTGGACATCTACCTTCACATTTGTGGCATGATTGTTCGAAATGCTTTGTCAAGTTCTTCTGCACCTAAGCTACTGCCGTTCTTGTCAAGTCGTTAGTCTAATTTGTTGAAAGTTGAAGACGAGACATGCCAGACGTGCGCGTCAGGAAACTCGCCACTTGCTGTCAGCGACGTGGTAGCGCAGAGCCACACCAAGCCTGCTTCGTGCTTTGTCTTTCTTTGGAGATCTGTAGGGCCAGACCATATCACACATAGTTGAAGTTGAAATTGTCTGGCAATGCCAGACTTGCTTGAAGTTGGAGATGGCTTCAATGACTTGGTCTGGTGCACTTGTGATTTGACAGCTGTGTGCTGTTTCTTTCACACGTGCTGGTGTTTCTGAGCCTAAAAAGCGGTTACCTGGCGAGCGAACTCAACTGGACCTTTTAGGAGATGACAAAGCCCTCCCTGGTGGATTCTCACATCTCTGCGGGCTGTATGCTTGCTCAGGCAGCTGCTGTTGCAACATCATCGGCCGAAATGTGGAAGCTTTACTCGGAGACCATGGTGAGGAAGAGACTTTCAAGTGGGTGCACTTGGTATCCTTTCTTTTGAGCTTGCAGATGGTTGATAGCACATCATTTCAACGCATCGCCTTGAACCTCGACCAAGCTCCTCTGCGATCACCTTGAACCTCTTCAGACAAATGCCACAAGTTTTTTTGTCGAGCTTGGGGGCGAGCATGTTTCTGAGGGAGGCAGGGAACATGGTGTAAAGCGTCCTTTGGGATGCAAGCAGAACTTGAAGATGGCGGCTCAACAAATCTCTGGTTGTAAAACACCTCTTGGGCGTCTGCTCAGGTGCAGTTGACACTTGGTGGCCCAAAAAAGACCGCTGCATGCCTTCCTGCAGCGCTCAGCGATCGCTTGTCCGTGCACCACAGCACAGCAGCCGCCTCATTTTGACCAACTCGTGGATCACGGAAATGTGCAAGGATCGCCCTCAGAATGAAGACGATGAGCTTGAGAACTTTGGAGTGGTGCCATGATGCCATGTGCTTCTCTATTTTTGCTCAGCCACGCAGTGCCAGGCTGATGTTGTTTCCTGGCAAAAATGCTGAATAGTGCTGTCAGGTAAATGGGACCCAACATCCGATGGGACGTGGAATAGATTCAGAGCGTTTTTGCTATAGTAAATTCTGGATGTTACTGGATGTTTGGATTTCGTTGCATTTGCAGTCTAGCAACTGCCTAGAAAAGTTTTCGGTGATTGATGGGATTAGCATTCTTGGTTTTCTGCAATCAGGCCATGGATATCCCTTGTATTGCTTCAGCCATCTATTTGTGCCTGGTAGCGGTTGGGTCCGCTTCTTTTCGTAAGGGACGTTGCTTCATGGCAGAAATGGAAATGGTCGTGCGACGAGCTGGGTGGGTGAAAAGCTGGTTGCGATTCGGATGTTGTGATCCATCATTGCTGAAGACTGTGGATGAAGGATGGTTTCAAACGCATGCTGGTGCTCATTGATCGCCGTGAAAGCATGTTAGGTGCTCATTGATGATGGATCGCAACCATGAATATGCAACTACGAAAGGGTGCCGTGGAGGCAAAGGGAAAAGCTTAAACTGGGGAACCGTGGTGGATAGTTGGTATCAGTCAGCGCTTTTTTCCGCCTTTTCTTCAGTGTGCAATCGCCTTGTTCATCATAGACTTAGTGAATCTGAAGGATTTGACTTGAGAAGAGTGATACGCTGTGTTGCTCTCAGTAAAACTGAAGGCGGTGCGAGCATAGAGAACTGCAAGCCTTGAAACCAGCCACTTGCTGCAACTGGATAGATAGGACTTGAAAACTCATCAGCAGAAAGCAGTATGTCATTCTGACTGGCAACAGAATAAACAGGACTGGCATGCGCATGTGCTTAAATTGCAGTGATTTGATGGCAGACATGTATCCCTACACTTGAGATCGTTTGGGGCGAGCAAAACTGCCTTGCCATGGAATGCTCCTTTCCTCTTGTTGAGCTTGGTGATGGATGCATGTGGTGGCCTTTGATGGTGGCTGCAGCTTTTTCCTTTTGCTTCTGCCTGGCAGGCTTCTTGTGTATTTTGTCGCTTTGGAAAAGACACATGTGGAGAAGACACGAACGGATCGGTGACAAGATTAACAAGAGATTTGAGACAGTATTTCAGGAGATGTGGGATGAAGCAAACTGCACTTTGGATGTGCATGCCCAATTCCTATTCAAGCATGGGTATAGCCAAAGTGAGTTCCATTCATGCCTTTCTAAGATTCGAGCACGTCAAAGCGAAATGGCCGGAGTGAGTTTGCGCTATTTACTGTCGAAGGAATTTGCAGAACTGGCAAGAGGTCGCACCCACCTCACAGATCCGAGCTTCAAAGAGATGAAGGTTTCATTTTGGTTAAATGAAAATGCCATTGGAAAGGACA